TTCAAACTTGTACTGGACGGGTATCAATTGTTTACCTGCCTACCCCTCCACGTGCGCGTCCCTAGTGTTGCCAGATTGAACACTAGAAAATCAATCTCATTATTTAATTTACGCACCTAGTATATGCACCAACTGATTACAAATTAGATGAAAATAAGAAAAAGCTCTTCGATATAATAGAAAGGACTTTTGATGCTAATGAGAATTTAATAGCAAAATTGGAAAAGTGTCAAACCTAGGAAGATCAGTGGGCATACGTAGGCTACACGACCATACAAGTGACAATAAATAGTCAAAGGGCAGTTCAATTTTTAAAAGGCTTAATGTACATAAAAAAAAGCTAAAAATTACAGTACAACCTTAAAGTATTAAAAGGATATATTTGATGAAAGAATTAGGAACCACATTGATCTCGAAGTGATAAAGATAAAACGTCATGACAATATTCAAGATATACGGAACTATAGATGAGCTGAATGCAGTTGATTTGATCATTTACTTGCTGAAAGTAAACTCAAGAAGACGGTACGAATCAAACCTTGAAGCAGTCCGCATAGTAGTCAAAGGTCCTCCAGAATATATACTTTCCAAAGGCGAATTAGATACAACTGCTTGATGAGGAGGGAGTTGTTGATGGGATTCGTCGGTTGAAAAATCATAAGGTTACTGGCATTGAACCACACACCCAAAACTGCTTAAGAAGGAAGTTATGAAACAAGCGTAGTGGGCACCCTGTACTCCCTTCCTCTCTCCAGTACAGTCGGGACGCTGAGGTCTGCTCTGCCGGAACTAAGAAACCACAACACGGAACAAGTGAAGATCTTACACGATATACTGATGAACTTCTGAACCAGTGATTATCACAGAGAAAAAAGGGAGGCATATTTAAATGCACTAACCATAAAGTAATATCTCTGCTTTCTTGTTAAATTAAATTTCTTTCCAACATCTTATTTTGCCGGCTCCTTTCTATTCTGCAATCGTTGAACAAGAGACTGGTCATTAGCAATGTGGTTCCGGCAGAGCAGATCTACTACAGACCATACGTTCATCTTCCCAACTGTACTGGAGAGAGGAAGGGAATACAGGGTGGCCACACATCACATCTTCATTGACTTGCAGCCGACATATTATAGCTTTCATCGAAAAGACCATTGCAATCACAAAGCTCACAATGGAAGATATTGTATTTGTGATTCAGGTACAAGATTGTAGACCATCGGTACCTCTACTTATATGTTTACTTTTTAATATGGCATTAGAGAGAGCAATAAGGATCTCTGAGGTTCAACTTCATGGAAGGATCAATACCGATGTTATCATGCTTAGACGAAATAGATATTGTAGGAAGATCGAGGAAAGCGGTAGTTGAGGCATTTCCTGCTCTGGAAGCTACTTCGTAGTACCCATTGTGAATGAAGCCAGATCCTAGTACTTGTTTCAGATCTACCATCAAGATTGAGAGGTACTCTGTGCCCCTACTCACTTAAGAAGGCTTAGAGATTGCCTACCTGTGATCAAGCTTCACCTGTAAGGAGTTTGCTGCAGTACAGATCAGGAGGAGCTTATTGACTAATTAAAGTTACAATTAAAGAAATTCTAAAAGAAATGAAACAAAAAATTAATTAGGAAACAAGATTGCAGGAAAGAACAGAATATACTATCATTATTGAACACTTTCTTCATATGTGTATTTTTTTAGTTTTAAATATCAGGAAATATGATAAAAAAAGTTCAGATAATTTAATCAAGAGAAGGTCCAAATCAGAATAAAACTCTCTTCCATATTGTTAAAAAATGATATAATATGAAATAAAAGAAAATTATCAACTAGGAACTAATTTATTCACATCAGAATCAAAGAAGACCAGTATTTTGAAGTAAGAAAAATTAGAGGTCTACCCTTTCCATATTTAGATGACCTGAAAATACAAGGTAAGAGAGTATAATTAAGAGTAGATAAGCTTCTAGTTTATAGAAAATATTTCTGATTGGAGGATTTTCTAGGCTTAGTAAATACAAGAACAAGCTCAACACTGAGGAGTTAAAAAAACTCACCAGAAATGTTGGAATTACAAAAATATTTTACAAAGACGAAAGCACTATGGAGGAAAAAAACCAAGATTTAAAAAATACACTGGAGCAATTTTCTGAAGATGTATCATTCCATTAATATAAAAAACAATGAAGATTAAAGCAAGGCAGTATCAATTGAAGAACAGAGAAAACCAACTGAGAAATTCTGAAAAAAACGAAAAAGAAAATCTATTAGGAAACAAGATTAAAGGAAAGAACAGAATATACTGTCATTATTGAACACTTTCTTCATATGTGTATTTCTTTAGATTTTAATATCAGAAAATATGATATAAAAAAAGTTCAGATAATTAACAGGGAATCAAGAGAAGGTCCAATTAGAATAAAACTCTCTTCCATATTGTTAAAAAATGGATATAATATGAAATAAAAGAAAAATATCAACTAGGAACTAATTTATTCATATCAAAATCAAAGAAGACCAGTATTTTGAAGTAAGAAAAATTAGAGGTCTACCCTTTCCATATTTAGATGACCTGAAAATACAAGGTAAGAGAGTATAATTAAGAGTAGATAAGCTTCTAGTTTATAGAAAATATTTCTGATTGGAGGATTTTCCAGGCTTAGTAAATACAAGAACAAGCTCAACACTGAGGAGTAAAAAAAAACTCACCAGAAATGTTGGAATTACAAAAATATTTTACAAAGACGAAAGCACTATGGAGGAAAAAAACCAAGATTTAAAAAATACATTGGAGCAATTTTCTGAAGATGTATCATTCCATTAATATAAAAAACAATGAAGATTAAAGCAAGGCAGTATCAATTGAAGAACAGAGAAAACCAACTGAGAAATTCTGAAAAAAACAAAAAAAAAAAATCTATAAGGAAACAAGATTAAAGGAAAGAACAGAATATACTGTCATTATTGAACACTTTCTTCATATGTGTATTTCTTTAGATTAAAATATCAGAAAATATGATATAAAAAAAGTTCAGATAATTAACAGGGAATCAAGAGAAGGTCCAATTAGAATAAAACTCTCTTCCATATTGTTAAAAAATGGTATAATATGAAATAAAAAAAAAATATCAACTAGGAACTAATTTATTCACATCAAAATCAATGAATACCAGTATTTTGAAGTAAGAAAAATAAGAGGTCTACCCTTTCCATATTTAGATGACCTGAAAATACAAGGTAAGAGAGTAAAATTAAGAGTAGATAAGCTTCTAGTTTATGGATGATTGGAGGATTTCCAGGCTTAGTAAATATAAGCACAAGCTAAAGACTGAGGAGTTAAAAAAAACTCACCAGAAATGTTGGAATTACAAAAATATTTTACAAAGACAAAAGCACTATGGAGGAAAAAAACCAAGGTTTCAAAAATACACTGGAGCAATTTTCTGAAGATGTATCATTCCATTAATATAAAAAACAATGAAGATTAAAGCAAGGCAGTATCAATTGAAGAACAGAGAAAACCAACTGAGAAATTCTGAAAAAAACAAAAAAAAAAATCAATAGGAAACAAGATTAAAGGAAAGAACAGAATATACTGTCATTATTGAACACTTTCTTCATATGTGTATTTCTTTAGATTTAAATATCAGAAAATATGATATAAAAAAAGTTCAGATAATTAACAGGGAATCAAGAGAAGGTCCAATTAGAATAAAACTCTCTTCCATATTGTTAAAAAATGGTATAATATGAAATAAAAAAAAAAAAAGGTAAGAGAGTATAATTAAGAGTAGATAAGCTTCTAGTTGATGGAAATATCTGATTGCAGGATTTCCAGGCTTAGTAAATATAAGCACAAGCTAAAGACTGAGGAGTTAAAAAAAACTCACCAGAAGTGTTGGAATTACAAAAATAATTTACACAGACGAAAGCACTATGGACGAAAAAAAACAAGGTTTAAAAAATAGACTGGAGCAATTTTCTGAAGATGTATCATTCCATTAATATAAAAAACGATGAAGATTAAAGCAAGGCAGTATCAATTGAAGAACAGAGAAAACCAACTAAACCTTAAAAAGAGAAAGGTACATAGCAACTAAAATATGTATTAGACCTTAAGAAAATAAATAATAGAATAGTTAATCTGGTTCTGAAAGTCACCCACAACAAAACTTTATCAATCATTCAATTGCATTCACCTGTTATGTCTGCCTTGAAGCAGAAAAGGACAATTTTGACTTGGAGCTCGAAAGAAGTCCGTCAAGTTTGAAAAGGAAAAATAACTGTATTATGGGAGATTAATGGACGTGTAAGAGAAATATTTGAAGGAGAAGAAGGCTTAATGGAAAAAAATACATTCGGAATAATCAATTTATTATTTAGCCCAAGCCTCCATGTTAGAAATACTTATTTTATAAAAAAATACTCTGTAACATATGGAAAAGGATATCACCAAAAGGGCAGAAATATGCGAATGACAATTTTCTTACATATCAAATTAGTGAAAAACATTGAAAAATCATGAGCTTAAATTTCATCTCGGAACAGAATTATCAGAGGGGAAATACATTTAAAAAAATTTAAAGAAAATCGACCCATTAGAATTTTTCAACAGATTATTACAAAAAGAATGGAAAGTCAAAAAGAATAGAAAAAATATTTAGGGAAGAACTGGCCAAGAAGAAGACTTAGAGATGATTAAGAATATAGATGATTCATTGCAGAATCAAAGGATGAGGGCACCTACCTAACTCTTGTGAAACAAGAAAAATACAACCAACTGATAGAAACTATTAAAGAATATGCCAACAATCCTCAGACACTTTCAATAAAATCAAGATTGAATGAGCTCTCACCAAATACAGTAAAACTCCTTAGATTAAGGCTATAAGAAATGATATATTGCAAGGAAAAAAAAGATGCAAGTACAAACACTGAAAATATATATACATTTAATGAAATATATTTAAAAAGATCTTTTTTATTTGTCTTTTAGTAGGCAAAAATCAAATCCATTAAGCAGCTTAAAAGAAATCTCTCATTTTTAATGTATTGGATTGGTAACCATCAAGATATAAATAAAGTCTTGGTCACAGCAAGAGCTGACATATCAAAGGAAGCAACAGAATTCTTCACGGCTTCGTATAAAAAATTTGGAGGAGAAGCTGAAGATATTTCCAAAAATGTAGAAGAGGATGATGAACTGGTGCCACAAATAAAATTTGAAGTACAACAATAAAAGCAATAAACAATTTAGAAGAGTGTGAAAATCCCAAGATTTGATAGTGCGAAGAATGAGTTTTTACTAGAAAGTGGTGTATTATAATATTGGCAAACAAACTGCTTGAAAAATTATTTAAATTAATTTTCGTGAGAAAAGAAATACCAGAACAATAGAAATTGGCAAAAATTGCTATCCTGTAAGAATGCCTAACCAAACAGGCTATAGAGAATATAGCGATTGAACAGACTGGATTCCGAAAGGGGTTTTCAGTAATGGACCATGTCCAGACAATAAATCAATCTATAGAAAAATCTGCAGAATATAATTTTCCAATGTATTTCTGTTTTCATGACTTCAGGATATTCAAAGCCCTCAGGACTTCAGGAATACAGATATATACAGATTATAGACCAACTATTCAAGGATATGTTAGCATACATTGAAATAATTAGAAAAGAAAAATGTTTACCTCATGCTTAGAAAACATCACTATGCTAAACGAACTAATACCAGAATGTAAAAAAGTAGGTTTAATGTTAACCAAACTATAACATGCAGTGATAAAAAGCAATAAAAAAGTCATGGGATATATTTTCATAGGTAAGTCTCTAGTTACTAAATATTTTAGTTTGATAGGAATATTAACATTTATTCATTTTTCTTGTCCTTCAGATACATTTAAAGATATTTAAGCAGTTGTCAACCCTGTAAGAATCTTGCAGCAGTGGAGATTAGGAGGAACATATTTAATACAATATTTGTTTTTTTGGAATCTGAAAGCATCTTTCAATCAATTTGAAAGCAGAAAATGATCAATAAAACAAAAAGTTTGATTTATAAACTATTTGACCCAGTAACAGATCATAACGAATATAAAATAATTTAATCCAGTAGCTGGTATTGGAATTTCAGGACTAAAGAAGAATTAAAGATATTAAAAAAAAAAAAAGCCTATACATTACACTAGCAAAAAAAGAGAGATATTTACAAACGAGAAGTAAAGATAGATATTGTATGTAAATATTAAATAGCAGTTGAAGAATAAAATTACAAATTACGAAACTAAATGTGGATTTCAAACAATAAAGAATGAAGAAAATTTATGAAAAGTAGGTTTAATGTTAACCAAACTATAACATGCAGAGATAAAAAAGTCATGGGATATATTTTCATAGGTAAGTCTCTAGTTACTAAATATTTTCGTTTGATAGGAATATTAACATTTATTCATTTTTCTTGTCCTTCAGATACATTTAAAGATATTTAAGCAGTAGTCAACTCTGTAAGAATCTTGCAGCAGTGAAGATTAGGAGGAACGTATTTAATACAATATTTGTTTTTTTGGAACCCGAAAGCATCTCTCAATCAATTTGAAAACAGAAAATGATCTATAAAACAAAATTTTTTATAAACTATTAGCCCCACTAACAGATCATAAGGAATATAAAATAATTTAATCCAGTAGCTAGTATTGGAATTTCAGGAGTAAAGAAGAATTAAAGATATTAAAAAAAAAAAGCCTATACATTACACTAGAAAAAAACGAGAGATATTTACGAACGAGAAGTAAAAAAAGATATTGTATGTAAATATTAAATAGCAGTTGAAGAATAAAATTACAAATTACGAAACTAAATGTGGATTTCAAACAATAAAGAATGAAGAAAGTTTATGAAAAGTAGGTTTAATGTTAACCAAACTATAGCACGCAGAGATAAAAAGTAATAAAAAAGTCATGGGATATATTTTCATAGGTAAGTCTCTAGTTACGAAATATTTTAGTTTGATAGGAATATTAACATTTATTCATTTTTCTTGTCCTTCAGATACATTTAAAGATATTTAAGCAGTAGTCAACCCTGTAAGAATCTTGCAGCAGTGAAGATTAGGAGGAACATATTTAATACAATATTTGTTTTTTTGGAATCTGAAAGCATCTCTCAATCAATTTGAAAACAGAAAATGATCAATAAAACAAAAAGTTTGATTTATAAACTATTTGACCCACTAACAGATCATAACGAATGTAAAATAATTTAATCCAGTAGCTAGTATTGGAATTTCAGGAGTAAAGAAGAATTAAAGATATTAAAAAAAAAAAAGCTTAAACATTATGCTAGAAAAAAAGAGAGATATTTACAAACGAGAAGTAAAAAAAGATATTGTATGTTAAAAAAAATGAAAAATATTATATTGAAAAACTAAAGTATTGTAAATATGAAATAGCAGTTGAAGAATAAAATTACAAATTACGAAACTAAATGCGAAGTTCAAACAGTTTATGAAAATGAAATATCGATTAAAAGATAATGTTTTATTCTAAGAGAAACGTTTCGAAACCCTAAAGGAGGAGTGTAATTATTGTGATAAAACGCAATCAAGGAGAATAAATAAATGAACAAAAAAATTAAGGATGCAAACATTTTAAGATAGAAAGAAAACTATTTTATAAAACCATAGTGGAATATCAATTATCTTTGCTTGCTTCTTCAACTTCTGACCGTCATATTTTAAAGCAGAAAATATGGAAAGCTGATTAATTATGAATAAAGTTCGTTTGTAAGAAACAATTGTCTTTATTATTTCAGTTGTAATCACCTTTATAATTTCATTGGTATAAATGGATTATGATTAGAGAAGTTAAACGATACATGCAAATCATGAGAAGTTTTTTGTTTGTGACTATAAGATAATTTTAAGTCAAAGCAAACACACACACACACACACACACACACACACAGTGGATGAAACAATGGAACATTCCTTATTCTATTGGGCAGGTTTTGCTGGAGAAAAGGAAGAATATATATAACTATGTATGTATATATATATATATATATATATATATATATATATATATATATATATAAACTTCACTATTTAATTGGGAATAAGGTCACTTAATTTTAGGTTTTTAAATTTTGAATGTGTTACTGAATTAATGCTACTTTTTTTTTTAGCATATTACTAATGATTAAAAAAAATCCAATAATTGGAATCACCTTTTATTTATTTTTCTTTTTAGCGTTTTTTTTTTCTACAGATTAAATTAAAGAGTTTTAAGAAGCATATCTCAACTCAATAAGCTCTCTTTGAATGCCGAGAAGAGAAAAGCCATCCTGATCGGAGCCCCCTCACTCCTCAAATTCCTTACCACACCTTACAACCTTCTCTTGAACACCTCACTAATCCCCTTCCATATTACCGTTAAAAACATTGCTGTTATCTATGATCAAACCCATTCCTGGAAACTAAACATCTCCCAAATTTCCCGTCGTACTATTTACACTCTGAAACAGTTCAACCGTCTACGCTATCTCCTTCCATTCAGAAATCGTCAATACCATGTTTCCTCTCTTCTTGTCATCCACTTTGACTATATCTGTGTGGCGGACTCTCGGGAGAACTGGAAGCCAAACTTAAGCGTCTAATGAATTGCTCAATACGCTTTGTTTTCGGGATGTCAAGGGATACGCATATTACCCATAATTACACCGAGTTGAAGTGGCTCTATCCGCCCCACCATTCCTATACCAGGTTATTATATCTCAGTGACCCTCCTATATTCTACAGAGTCTACAGTTTAAATCAAATCCTCCATTCCATCCCGTCCTACCAGATCCCGTACATCCGACCTTTATCCTCTTCCACACCAAACTGCTGCGTTTCTATGCGTGGAATTCTATTCCACCCGATATTCGAACACTCAAAGTCAGTATCCTCTTTAAAATCTCTCCTCTTTAATTTAATCACCATTTTCATTCCCGATACACTTCATTATGAACGTGAATTGATGAATGCACGTGAGATTCTAAATTGTAAGGTTCTCCAGATACTATTAATTTATTTTATTTTATCTTTATATGTGTAGACTTTTTCCTTACTACAAAAGGGATTATTGTAAAGTGAAGTACTCTCCATAATTAAATTATGACACTGCACAGTATTTTAACATAACCGTCCTCTCATCATTCCATATGATGTTGTTTCCCATCTGTGGTTTTGAACTTCAAACAGAAATACACCTTCAAACCTTCAACAAATGAAATTCAAATCAATTTAAATGAAGTACGTCGAATTTTATATATATATATATATGACAAATGTTTTAATAGACTCTTAAATATTATAATTTAAGATAATTATTTTGATTGGGTAATAGGACACTAAGATATATTTTGATAAAACTACAATAACTTCTGTGTTTATTTTTTTTATTCAAAGTTTCGATCCAGTTTTCCATAAATCATAAATTTATAAAACATTAAATAAAAACAATCATACATATTTTGAACTAACCCCTGATTGCTCAAACTTAAATAACAAAAGAGTAAAATTTATACAGATGTCATCGTATGGAATATTTTAATACTGTCAAAATTAAAGAAGTACAAATACAAAAATAAAAGAAGTGCACGAAGCGTTGAATAAAAAGTATAAGTTATACACAGAAGGTATTGTAGTTTATCACAATACATCTAATCTGATCCATTACTCAATTCGGATGATTCGGTATTTAGTGACTAAACTCTTTAAGGTGATTCAGGATAAAATGTCCAACAAATCGTTTATTTGATGCAGGTTTAGGGAGTTAATTCCAATTTAATTTTTTCTTAAGATGGTCTCATTTTCTCTTTTTTATAAGAAGCGATATCACAAAAATTATTTAATTCAAGTCATTAAAAATTGCTTTATAATAAACTAGACATAATTTCCTGCACATACAGGAAGAGTTTCTCTTTGTCAAAACCATTCATAGGGGACTTTTGAAGAGGCTAAACTACGCTGAGATTTTTTTCATCAAATCATGGATTATTTGCGATTTTTTTATCATCCCACAGCCTCACCATATAAACCCGAATTTTAATATTAATTTAAAAAATACAGCATTTTCAAAATACATCATCTAAGATGGTAATGAACTATTTCTTTTAACACAGATGTCTATTGTGGAAATTGTATTTTTTATATTAATAAAAAGTGTATTTTCAAAATAAATTTCCTGATATAGATTT